ATGTACCATCGTTGTAATTACATATAAAACTTCGTCTATACTCTAATAAAAAGTTCCCCAGACCAAAGAGGTCACCTAAATACCAAAAAAAAAAAAAAAAAAAGAATTTGAAAGACAGTGCAGACAAGAGAGCTACAAGCACTATTTAGAAGAAATATACGAAAAAAGAACTGGAATAAGCATAAGTAGAGAATATTGAAAATCTGAAGAACAAACTTGAAAAAAATTCAGAAACTACCATGCAAAGATCTGAGAATGAGAATGTGAATATTGGAGAACTATTAAACCTAGAATTAAACCAATATAGGGAAAATTGGAACTTGAAGGACCAGCTACCAAATGACTCAGAAATATACCTGAATCCAGAACTCCTAGCATATCTTGATAAACAAGTATTCTTGCATGATCCATATAACTTACCGAATAAAATAATGACCCAAGCAATCAGATTTACTATAATAGAAGCAGAAACTTATATCTTATTAGCAGAACGTATTAACCTAAATAAAAGTTTTTACCGAACATTTAATGGAATAAGAGGAAAAGAAAAATTAAACCAAAATAGAATACCAAAAGAAATCATAGAAGTAATAGCCTTAAGAGAAATATTTGAAGAATCAGAATTAGTGATAAAAAATAATAATTTAATTAAAATCCAAGAAAACTCATACTACTCAACAGAAGAATGGATTGCAACAGGCTGCAGACCAGAACAAGCAAAATACTTCATAATGCTAGGACTATTTATCTTCCAGTTAAACGATGAAGAAATGCCTAAAAATACTGAACCAGAAACCTTAGAACCCTGAAAACTCTATTCTTTTAAAACAAATAGAAGAACAACAAATACCTCTTGTACCCATGATATTACAGAACCTCTTATACATATTCAAAAGAATTGAAGACTATCCCATACTAGAATATGTAAACCGAATTAAAACTGCACATCAGTATAGAATAATAAACCCAAAGAAAACATTTGCACACTTATTCGAAGGAATAGACTCGGAAACTGAAGAAGAAGAACTAACACCATTAACAAAAGAAGAATACAAAGAAGTCTTAGTGAATAAAGAAACAATAACTGCAAGACAAATCAAAAGCTGATGATTATTTAAAACAATAATTCAAAAACAAATAGCGCCACTAAAACGAATAGAAAAACAACTTACCAATTTCGACCACCTCTATCAAGGATATAAATACTTAACCATTTTTGAAAAGAAAGACAGAGTAAAAGTCGCAACAATAATGGAAAAATACCCAAAGGTAATCGACCTTTCGAAACTACCGGACAATATATTAGACAAATTGAAAAAACAATACTACTATTACAATCTCAAGTATGACAATAGCGGACAGGCGTATCAGATAAAGGTACGACAAACAAACGAATTCCAAGTTACACTCAACCATAAAATTCTTAATGACTGAATATAAAGATTTAACCCTTATCTAGAAATAACCGGTAACACTAATCCGCCACATCAAACTTAACCTTAGCCCCCTTGAAGAATTCAGGGAATTCCTGAAATTCCTGTCTCCCCGGTAAATCCAAATTGGGAATTCCCGGGCACGTGTCTGCGTTCAGGTCACGTTTCCGGTTTCACAACACATTATGACCAGTGTTATAAAACAAAAAATTTTTATTTGCGCAAATGCAAAAAAATTTATGCGCGCGTTATATATGCTGCGCCTATTGCCCGATCCAATTTACATCACTGATTACGTACGACATTACGACATTACGGCATTACAGCATATAATTTTTACTTCTACCACTGGTAAAATACCGTAATTACCGTAATTTAGTAATTCTACCACCAACTAAAGCACGGACACAAAAAATTTGGTATTTATTATTTAATTGCGCCTGGCACTTGTGCCCAGCCCATTAGGGATGGTTCGGTTACGATTATTCTTAGCAAATCGGCCATGAATAGTCGTAACCGTTTGTAACCGAACCCACAATAGTGCCTGGCATTTGCGCTCATGCCTAATAATGCCCGGCACTTTTGTGCCTATAGGCATGGGCATGGCATAACTCGTGCCTGACCTGGTGCCAATTATGCCCATTTGCAGACCCTTTACTGTATTCCAGTAATTGAATACGTAATCATGTTCTAAATTAGGCAATTAATTAAATTTTTACTATTGTTCATCTTCATGTGCTCGCTTAGATGGGATTGGATCATCTGTGTGTTCAATGGCTGCATTCTTGGACTTAACCGGATTGTTTCCGGCTTAACCACCTTTTCGATCTGTTGACTTTCGTCAACTTGAATTATTTGGCTAATTTCTGTAAATCAACATGTGACTGTTGAAAATTTTTTAATTTTTTGTTGGCGCATCTAGAGTAATTGCGCGAATTATTGTTTGATTCGTTGTAAATAACGTACAGTAATTATGACAACAAAATATCCTGATGATATAGCTGACGATTTTAAAAAATTATATGAATCTAAAGAAGATTATGATGCGATTATCATCGCTGGAAAAGAACCAAATGTTAAAGAATTTCAAGTCCATTCTTTAATTCTTCGTACTAGATCAACTTATTTTCGTAGTGCATTTTCTTCTAATTGGGCTGAAAAAAATGATAATGGTCATTTAATTTTAAAAAAGCCTAATATTAGTGCATTAGTCTTCGAAATTATTCTTAAGTAAGTAATGAATTATTAAACTACGGTATTAAATCATTCAAGATTCTAAATGATTCTAATTTCATGCTTATATTGTTACACGTTCAAATAGATATCTTTATTGTGGAATAGTGGACTTTCAAAGACGAAAAAATGAAGAAATCTTAGAACTTTTAGTCGCTGCAGATGAACTTGGAGTTCAAAGACTTATTAATTCTGTTCAAGAATTTTTAATTCAAAATTGTTACAAATTCTTAGAATCTGATCTCATTAAAATGCTTGAATTTGTTACTTGTCATAATAATTTCAATAATCTTAAAAAAGCTTTTTTAAGGACCTTAATTAGAAATTGTAAAGAATTTTTACGACGAGATCCTATTAAGTTACTTCATTTCATTATTCACAACGAAGAATTTAACAAACATAGAAAAGCTTTTTTAGAGGTCATTTGTGAAAATCCTAGCTTATTATTTGATTCAAACGAGTTTATTTCATTAGAAAAAAAAGTATTAGAATTAGTTCTTAAATGTGATGATCTTGATATGAAAGAAATTGATATCTGGAGACGATTAGTTAAATGGGGAGTCGCACAACATTCAAGGGATCAAAATGATGTGATTAATTTACGCAACTTTACGCAAGAAGACTTTAATAAGTTAAAAATGATATTAAGTGATTTAATTAAATTTGTTAGATTTCATCAAATAAATCAGCAAGAATTTATGCTTGGAGTATGGCCATTGAGACACCTCCTTTTTGATAACTTAATCGAAGATATATTACGTTGGTATTTAGTTTCAGGTACCATACCGCTTTATCGCGCATTTCCAGTCAGATGGGGCAACTTTAAAATCGACTCAGATTTAATTAATAAGAATGTTGCACTATTATTTACAAAATGGATAGATAAAAATATTATTATTGATCTCAAGACTTCAAAGAAAATTCGATATAAATTTAATCTTCTTTTTCGAAGCAGCGTAGATGGCTTTTCATCCCAAATATTTCATTATAAATGTGATAATAAAGGAGCAACAATTGTTGTAGCGAAAATTTCAAATTCGAATATGCTGGTTGGTGGTTATAATCCGCTTGACTGGAATGGAAATGGTTATAAAACCACAACAGATAGCTTCATATTTTCGTTAAGCGATCTTAATAATCTTCAAAGTGCAAAATTAGGACGTGTTAATATTAATAGTAATTGTGCAGTTTATTGCAATAATAGATACGGACCAACTTTTGGAGGTGGTCACGATTTACATGCTCCAAATAACAATAGCAATTGGCAATGTTACGAAGATTCTTATCCTAGCGTTGGAATCACAAATTTATCTCCAATCTCAGATTATGAAGTGTTTCAAGTAGTAAAGATTAGATGAAATATCTTTTATTTGCATGAATTACAATATTTGCGTAATTAAAAAATAGGTTTGTGCTTAATCAAAATCTTCTTTCTATTGTGTATAGTTCAATAACTGGCCTTTTAGTTTTTAATTCAAAATTTAAAATGATATATTTTCAACTATTTTTACATCATTATTGAGGTTAAAATCATTCATATTTTTAGTGTAAAGATAACATTTATAATAATCGTGAAATACGTTAAGTGGTGCTTTCTTGTTATATAAGTATCCTCGGTAATCAGATAATAAATAATTTTCAAAATCACAAATTATTTCCTAGAATTTCCTAGAATTATGGTAAAGTCACAAATTTAATATAGAATTATCATTGTATGAAATTACAGAATTAATCTATTATGATTATTATATTTCCGAAAATTTTGTACTATTGATGAAAGAGGATTGATATTGGTACCTGTAAATTAAATTTGAATGAGAGTATCTTGATTCTTGATAACGTCCAGGCAAATTTCGATGAACCTTTTTTTTTTTATTATTATTTAAATTCTTCTAATCTGTAGAATTAAAGTAAAAAAAATTCATCGAATTTGGCTTTGTGATTATTGAGATATCTTCGCTTAAAGCTTTAAAAAACTCAAACCGTCTATCGAATAAAAGCTGCGCCGAGGTTTTTTCGAAGATAATACAACCACCAAGCCAAATTCGATGCAATTTTTTTTTATTTAAATTCTACTGTTTCGTAAGAATTGACAGAAATTGAGAAAATTTTCTATTTCAATAGACGTTTTGAGTTTTTTAAGATATTGAACAAAGATATTTCGATAACCACTAAACCAATTCGTTGACCTTTTTTTTTATTTGAATTTTACGAATCTGTAGAATTCAAATAAAAAAGTTTATCGAATTTAGCTTGACATTTATCGAGATAGCTTTGCACAGAGTATTCAAAAAATTTTAATTTACAGGCGGGTATGAATATATATTGTGGGGTACGAATGCCAAACCCTTTGATGAAATATTCGATACATTCTAAAATTTGTGTTATATAATTTGATATTAATACTGTTGAACCTCCCAAAATCGATCCTCTCAAAATCGATAACCTGTCAAATCTGATAAAAAATTAGTCTACCAA